GAAACATTTATGGAACACCTACGCCAGCTAGACTGAAGAACTGACTTTTCACAATCAATTCGGCTGCATTTACTGGAACAAATGATTCGATAAATGTGTAGACACATGTAAATACTTTCTGTTGCGTAGTCACTTTTTAAATCAGTTCAAAATATTTTAAGTTTTTAAATATTTATCATTACGACATGTTATGACACACAAGCCGCCCAACCCGTACAGTGGTTAGTGACGCTGACTGCGGTGCCATAGAGTCTGGGTTTGAACCTAGAGAAGGCATGAATGTTTGTAAATGTATAATGCCTTCGCGACATGGGGGTATTCTAAATAGCCGTCGACCCGCAAGTCTTCTCGTGAGGTAGATGGAAGAGGAAGAGAGGTTGGGGTCCCTGACCACCCCCAGGGTGTTCACCCTCAAAATTGGAGCGGAACCGAGCAAAATCGTACTGCTCAATCGGTGCTCAAAGCTAAGACTAACGACAGGCGTAAAAATCTAGCCCTTAGATTTTTACGATGAATTTTTTCCCCACCGCGATGAATTTCGTGAGCCTTGATCTGATGTTACTGTCGATCAGGTGGCATAAGAAGCAACAACACGACACGCAAACAATTAAATATTTATTTATAAAAACTCTATTTTGTGGGTAGGCACATTCACCGATTTCGGAGCTCCGTAATCGGTTTAAGTTATTTTACAGACTGATTGAATTCCCCATCGGTTAGAAAAGGTTCACGTAAATTTCCCTTTGGGATTACTGTGTTGCGACTGGCCACACCTTCAATGGAAGTACATGGTGACGCTTAACACGTTCACTGCAGCTGAAGGGGGAGCGATCATAGCGATGCCAGCCGTATCAATGAATTTTCCCCAACACGACGATTGAAGGGGAAATTAAATGTTGATGATCAGCCCTTCCCGTGATAGCACGGGATTGACTATTTAACCATGATCCCACGCTTCTACTGGATTAGGATCTAGTGCAGAAGACGAGGGAAACGGCAGTGAACAAATTAAATACACACATTGGTTTCAGATTCATTGGTTCACATATGTTCTATGCAAGTTGCATTGAATACATTCACACTCTATTGTCTTGTAGTAATCTGTCATATTTTAAAAGAGAGGTATAATGTCAAAAACAAGTGTTAAGAAAACAAAACATGCATTTTTAATCGGAATAGCCCCATCTATGCTACTAGGTGGACCACACCTTAAAAACATTAGAATTAGCCCGTACAATAGAAAAATCCGCCCACCCCAGAACTAGATGAATGCGACCCTGAAAAATAAACATTTCAATTTTGATTTTAAAAAAATGTTACTTTGCCATTAACACTGGAGGCAAGTTTGACCAATATCAGTTCCCCTCCCCCTGTTTTTTAACATCCACCTTTACTTCAAAACGTCCTGCAATAGAATCATTTTAGTTAATAAAAGTGAAAAAAGAGAATTTTTCGTATATTTTAACAGACTTAATATAAATTTAATTACTATCATTATTATTTTACTTATAAAATTCAACAGCATAATATAAAATGTAACGCAAGGTTAGTCGTAGATACTGGACTTCAAATTCACAGTTTCATTAAGAAGCCATAGTCACTTCGAAACTAAGAATTCCATCTCTCACTATCGAATTACACACTTTAAGTGTTAAAAAAAGAAAGAGGGGGGAGGGAAGAGTCTCACAAAAATAAACACATGCATTAAGACATATACAACAAACAATCACTAAATGGATATATATATATATATATACAAGCGAATACCCCAGTAATTGATTTGCAATCCAAACCATGAAAATAAAAAAGTAAAAAAATATTTAAAGCAGGTATCAACGGTTCTGATACCTGGACCACCAATACAAACGCAACCAACCCATAATCAAACAACCTACACGGATGCGAAAAAGCTTTCATGCAAATATCGAATACATTTATCAGACTTGATGAAAGTAAATGCTTGAATAAAAAGAACACACAAAATAATACAAAAAAAAAAAGTATTCGGTCAATTTGCTGCGGCTACTTTTAAAGAGCCATCGGTTTGAATAAATCAACATAATAAAAGCTTGCGGTAAGAGTCCTTTGTAATTTTCGAGTGGGAAAAAAAATGCAAACTAGAGATGTGTTTGAGAGGGGAAGATATAAATGACGAACCGGTACCGATTCGATAGTTCAACAGTAATCAGACGTAATTCTATATTTTTTACACTGCTGCCAATCCATCAAAATACAATACAAAAAAAAAAAAATAACACACTTATTCCTTCATTTGACATTAATAAGCCTTACGTAAAAAAAATGACTAAGAAAGCAAGAAAGGTTCAACTGTTTGAAATTCCATACGTTTTTGATGAGAGTATGAGTTAACAGCGGTCCCACCTTACTGCTAGGGTTACTAACAACGGACATAATAATTTTGAACCGCGGCCAAGTTTCGAGGATGACATTTGTGTGTGAGCCGGCACCCACTCTCTTGCTTTCCACACCAGTGTGAGTGAGTGAGTGTGAATATTAACGTCGCACAATTCAACTACTCGCGGGCTTTTGGTGACCGACCTTATAATTTTGAACCATGGTCAAGTGACGAGGACGACACCTGAGCTGGCACTCTCCTCCCCTAACCACATCAATGGGAGGAAGCTCAGATTTAACGTACATCGCCTCCTTGCACGGGGGATCTTCAGCGGTACTAGGCTTGAACTCATGACACGCCGGCCACAAGTCCGTTAACTTGACCACTAGGCAACGCCAATGTGAAAAATTGAGTCACGACAAATTCAACAAGCATCAGCTCCGGAGGGTCTTCAGTGGCATCAAGACTCGAGCCCGCAACTCGAGAACGTCGGCTACGAGTTCACGACCATGACTGTTTGACAAGTATAGAAAAATAAGAAAATACTAACATTTTTCTGTGATATTTTTTCAATATTTGTGTTTGTTCTGCAGCATTACAAATGCATTATTCGTCAATCACACTTTTATTTGAAAGATTCCCTTTTGATTGTTTTGAATTAAATTAATGAACATGGCGTAGCTACCCCAAACAACAGGGGCCTCATCATGTGTAACCCATTAACAGAGCTCATATTTGAAAGGGGCCCCGAAGGAATTTTGAGTGCGATGAGTGTGATGGACCTTATCCAAATTACCGCAAGAAGTAATCACTTTTTCGTGCCTTATTCTAAAAAATTCCTTTTAGCGAAAAAGAGAAAAAAATTCAAAAATAAATCTAATGCATCGTCAAAAAATCACGTAAAGATAAAACATGCTTAAAATTATATAACTGTAAATAAATCATGTTAAAAAAATAATAAAAAAAATTATAACACTTAAGAACGATAACATCCCTCGCTTTGAATGAAAATTACAGGGAGTGGTATATTAATATAGAAATTTACCCATTCATTATTTAACCCCTTAAGCGGCCAATTTTTTTTGCCCAAAATGTTCAACAAAAAAAAAGGCACATTTTTTTATTGCATATATAACTAAGCATAGTACTTAGTGGAATGCAAAGATGGAAGAATTTTATTTTAATTTTCAATTTTAGAATGTTCACTCTTTTTTTTTTATTTTATAATTGTGGAACACAACCTCCCCTAAACGTTTGCTTCTTACAAGTGCACTCTGCATGGTATGAAGAGTGCTTCATATATCTTAAAAGTCCCCCTCACACTTATAAAAAATTTTATGTTCGTACCTTTTTTTCAAACGGTTGGGGATTTTTGTGTGTGTGTGTGCACATATAAATATGCTCACACACAATTTGAAGCATGGTGTAATACTCCAGTCTTATATTGCAGTGGAAACAGCGATAATATCAGCATTTTTTTTTTTATTATCTTTCCATTTTCATTTTTTCTCAAGCAATAAATTGCACATTGCCTTGTCAATCTCTGTTACTTATCGAATATTTTCTAGAATCTAAATTCTTCCTTAAATGAAAACTCCTCTTCACCATCAAGAAAATCCCGGATGAGAAGTATTTCAGCACCATAGATAACTGCAACTCTTAAAAACACTAGCACTAATAATCTCACGATAAGAATTAAAAATACAGTACAGTCCCGATAATCCGAACAATATCGGACCGACCCCTGTTCGGATTAGCCAGAGTAACAGCGAAACACTATTTGAACTGGGAGTACAGGTTATGTTGTACAATTTTTCATACTAAACATTAGTGGTTCTGTTCTGTAGTTTATTCCATTTTAAAATTTGTACCATAACTTGATGTACAGTGCGTGAATATTAAATAAAGAACTGTTTGAATTAAGGTTTATACCGTTTTATATTGAAATATTCACCGATTTTCGTCCTTAAAAAATTATAACATTTTTCCGCGGAGCCGTTCGGATTAACCGGATGTTCGGATTAGCCGAGTTCGGATTAGCGGGACTGTACTGTATAGGCAAATTAGATAGAAAGAAGAAAATATAATTGCCCGTACGGCGTACGGGCGCGTAGTGAAGGATTAGCACGAAGATCACGAGTTCGGGAATGACCATTCGATTCACCTTGGTTGCATGAATAAAGGCGCATTTACAACTTATTTATAGCACGCAAAATCTTACAGTGAAAAGTTTAATATATATGAGTTCTTAAAAATTTAATCTTTCAAAATATACCATTCTATGAGAAAGTAAACACGATAATTTTTTAAACTAATTTTGGGTACTTTTCCGTTTCGTCGATTGATTGATTGATTGAATATTAACGTCGCACTGTTTAGCTACACGAGGGCTTTTGGCGACGGACCACGTAATTTTGAACCATGGTCAAGTGACGTGGACAACACTTGAGCTGGCACCCCCCTCTCCTAACTACCACACCACACCAACGGGAGTACGTTTCAGCTTTCGACAGATTTAACGTGCATCGCTGCCCTACACGGCGGGTCTTTAGTGGTACTGGACTCGAACTCGTGACAAGGCAAGCCACGATCCGATACCTATACCACTCGGCTACCGCGGCCAAAAAGATAGCAATCTGTAATATGGTTCCGTCCGGGATCGAACCGGAGACCTTTCACGTGTAAAGCGAACCTGATAACCACTACACTTCGGTTGATTGATTGATTGAATATTAACGTCGCACTGTTCAGCTACACGAGGGCTTTTGGCGACGGACCACGTAATTTTGAACCATGGTCAAGTGACGTGGACGACACCTGAGCTGGCACCCCCCTCTCCTCCACTACACTGCGGAACCGTGTTTTCCGTTTTGTCAGCGCAAGCGATAAAGTCCCTAAAAATGATACAATCGACGCCCAACGGAATATTCTAGATGGTAAACTTTAACTACCACTTTTTTATAATACTTCAAAAGTGGATGAAAAACCACAATCGAGAACTAATATTTTTCATATTTATTCTGAATGTATTGTGCGTTGTCACCCAAAACGCCAACCTAGCGAGACTTGAGCAGGCGAAACGGAAAAGTACCGTATTTTGATATGAGGAAGAAATTGTAGTTTAATCTTACCTATTTATTAAAAAAATTACTACATTATTATAGTTTTTAACAATTAATATAAATATAACAGTTGTTTTTTAAACAATTTTATATACTAACAAAATGTTCTCTATTGTTAGTAAAGATTCAAATATTTCGATCTTTCGTGTGATTTATAAAATGAACATTTAATGTTGAAACATAACAATAAAATCAACATATAAATGTTGAAAAAAATAGAAAAATTCGTCCATAGATTTTTTTGTTCAGAGTGAGTTACGTTTACGTAATTTTTTTTATAAATATTTTTTTAAAAAAAAATTTCGCTTTTAGATTATAAAAAAATATTACACTTCTGTTTTAAAAATTTTGTATAACTTACTTAATAAATTTGTAATCCCCAAAATAATACTCATATATCAATTTAGAAGAAAAAATTTCGCATTAAGTTGGATACCTTAACGTGTCAACAGTTCACAGAAGTGTTTAAAATAAGTGACGAAACAATATGGAAGAATTTACACAAAATATGTAAGTGAATAACGCACGACCACAAGTTGCAAAAGAAACCAGTACAAAAATTATGTATTTAGAGCGGGATATCCACCTTCATCCTTCTTTTATTCCTTATGAAAATATCTTATCAATTTATCAACTTTTTCCCCTTTACATCAGAGGTTCCCAAAGTGGTCCCTATGGACCCGCCAGGGGTCTTCGATATTATACAGGGGGTCCATGGAAAATTTAAATTAATTTAGGGGTCCCTGAACAACACAAGAGGTCCAAGCAAGGTTTAATATAAAATAAAAAAAATTTTGATCCATTTTTATTTTTATATATAGAAATTTAAATAACTAACAATAAAAAAAATTCACTCGGATATTCTCGACTGGGTATTGAACCTTTTTGCGCATGGACTAACTCAGATCCCAAACACCGATGAATCCATATCAATACAGGAGCATATTAATGAAATATCCACAAATGAGGGATTTATACCAATGTTTGAACAAGGATACCACATATCCTGTGTTGTTACAAGAACATATCCCAATGTTATGTATACAATGCATTATGGGTTATTGTACAGAAGTTGACTACTTTCCTGTCTTCCAATTTAGTAGAACGTAGATTCAGCGTCGTAAACCTCATCACACACACAAGAAAAGAAACCGACTAAAAACTAGTGCTTGAGGGGATTTGCGGTTGCTAATCACAAACATTGAGACGGACATAAATACACTCATAGCACCTCATCAAGTTCATACAAGACATTTTTTATTTTAGTTTAAACAAAAGTTATAATTTCAATAAATAATTCTTCAACAAAATGTTTTTTTTTAATTTGTAATTTTTATACTATGCATTTATGTAGCTTTTTCACTTGAGAAAGTTTAGAATATAAAAAGGGGTCCGTGGACAAGTTTTGACTATAAAAAGGGGTCTGTGGGCAAGTTTTGACTATAAAAAAAGGGGTCTGTGGGCAAGTTTTGAATATAAAAAGGGGTCTGTGGGCAAGTTTTGAATATAAAAAAGGGGTCCGTGGGCAAGTTTTGAATATAAAAAAGGGGGTCCATGGGTTAAAAAAGTTTGGGAATCACTGCTTTAAATAATCATGTATAACAAAAAGTTTAATAATAAAGAACTGAGGATAAGTGATGACATTTTATTAAGGGGTGTTGGAAAGCTAAAATCTTATTTTTTTGACAATTTGAGATTTTTACATTTTCAAACTGTATAGATTTTAACCTTTCTAAAAATACCTTACTTTAACCTCTAGGGTATTTAGAGGCCCTTAAAACGTATTTTTAAATAATCATTGAATTTGGGCCACACCCATTTTAATGGCGAAAATTGTGAACAAATTACTTTGTTTTTGCTTAAAAGTGTAACGACTGATATAAACCAAAACACGTATCTTTTATTTTAAATTGAGCCTTTAATTTTTTTATTTCCTAGTCGATTAGAAGTCTCACTGTATACATTAAAATCAATTTATCTCAAAATCTAAATTTTAATGTGCGATGTACCTTTTCTGAGAAACTACTGTTCACAAGAATGTAAATTTTTTATGAATTATTTATAATGATGTCCAATATATACTAAAATGGGCTTTTTGTAAAAAACTCAAAAATTTAATTTTTACAAATTTTTTAAGTAAAAAATGGGTCAAATTTCGCAATGTTTGATAAAATATTTCATAATTTATTAAAAAATTCAAAATTAGCTAAAAGCTCATTTTAGTATAATGAGAGAGATGTACTTTAATAGTATGAAAAATTTCAAGCATGTACATAAAACAGATTTTGAGAAAAGGTACATCGAAAACAGCCAATTTAACATTGTCAGTATAGAGAAAGAGAGAGGTTTCCAACTCCCCAAAGAAAATAAGCAATTTTTTTTTTAAAAAATGGATTTTATTAATTCCATTTTCGTTGGAAGGGGGTTTCAATATTGCGAGGGTAGATATTTGAATGAATAAATTATTTTATGTGAAAATACAATTTTATTTTTTTGATTAGATCAAAAACGCGACAGAACTTTCTTTTTCATGACAAAATGAAGATGGCTTTATGACGACATTTAAGCAGTAAGTCAGTTTTAATGTCGTGCAAATGTTTTAAGAAATTAACTGAATAGTCAAAGAAATGAAAAGTGATGTCAATTCGCAAAAATATGAAAGCTGGTTGGCATGGTTTCTTCTCACTAAGTATGCCAAGAACGAAGCCAAATAAAAAAAAAAGAATCAGTTTGAGACTATAAAGCAAAACGGCAGTCTCAAAATTTTAAAAATCTGTCTGTTTTTAAACATTCATTTATGGTTTTCAATTGCAGTATGACTAAAATACATCAATCAACAAGCCACAAAAAAAAGAAAGAAAGAAAAAAAATTTTTTTTTTTTAATTACGTGCTATCAAAAGCATCGAGAGAAAAATTTTAAAAGCAGACAGATAAAATCAAAGTTTTACTAACAAAAACTTTATAAAAAAGTTGTTAATGTTTCATATTTTGTAGAGTCAGTCTGTGTGTTACAAAGTACTTTGTAAGGTTAAAATTTGACTGAAAAGTAAAAATTGTTACAGGCTTCAACACACATCGCTTTTAGAAACACAATCATACGCATTTTTGAATGTTTCAAATGTTAACATTCTTAATTTCGACGGTAAACGCAGATAAGTTGCAATGCAACATGAAACTCGGTCTAAAAGAACTCCTTTCGGCACTATTCCAGAAGCATCAAAATATCTCAAGGGTTGTTTTCTTGAGCTTAACCTTCGCAGAAATGAGAAAAATCTACCTACTTTTTGCTACGATCCACTTAAGCGAAGGAAAAAAACAGAAGGGTGGGGCTTTGTTTGTTTAGAACAAGATAGTTCGGTTATTTTAGCCTTTTCTGCACCATTAACCTATAGAGAGGATGCCCTGACACCCTTAACAATGTTAATCGAAAAAAAAAACTCGAAAAAAATACTCACTCTTTGAATAATTACCTCAGATAAAGAATATAGATATACAGTCGGACCCCGATTTACCGAACCAATATTTAACGCACTTCGCGATTTAACGCACTTCTTTTTCCTCAATTAAAATGAAGGCAAAAATTCTTATTTAACGAATAATAAGCCATGAATTAACGAATTATTTCAACGGCCAAAAAAATTTTATTAGTTTAGATTTTAAAAAAAAGTTGGATTTTTTTTTCCAAGTGACATTTTTTTTTTTTTTTTTGGAACAGAAAAGGCTTTTCCTGTGAGCACTAACTTTGGACGGGAAAGAGTGCAGCCCATTATTTGACTTAACAGGTGCAGATGAGTCATGAGTGAATGGACAAGGTATGAATTTTGAATAGGACAAGAATTTCTTTTCTTGTCTCACTCCCCAACGCAGGAGATATTTTAAGAATTTTTGACCATTTGCTCTCTATCTTGAGAGAAGTAACGTTTACTATACGTACGGTTTTGCAGAAAATTTTGTTTTTGAAAATTCGAGAAGCATGGCAGAAATTGATAATGAAACTTTTGTCAAAACAGTATTTTTAGGTGCTGAATAAAGAATGTATAATTTCTAATTTCAGATTTAACGTGCATCAACATCTTATAGGATAGGCCTGAAGTGGTCCCAGGTTTCAAGCCTACGATTTGACAGAAACCACACTGGCCATGAGTTTGCAGCCATCACAACTCGGCTACTGGTGACCTATAACGAGCCCTAGTGTTACATCTAATTCAGTTTGTAAGGGGGAAAAAAACATACCATAAAATTCGGCTTATCACGCGTACCTATACTTTCAATCTGAATTTTTTTAATTTTTAGGTATATTTTCAGAACAACGCGCGCCCTCTGAAATATTAGTATCCATTGCGCGCTTTCATGTTTTGAAATAATTTATTACAGGTATTATCCCAGACTTTTGAAAGAATAGTATTATACTCAAGTCATTTCTTTTAAGGTATCCGACTACCCTAAAACCATGATTTTTTTCAAAAATCGGCAAAATTTTTTATAATTTTATTTTATAGACCATTTTATTAACTTAATAACAATACCAAGTACTTTATTTTCCCTCCACTAGAACAAAAACTACAAGCGTTTTAGTACAAGCACACAC